GAATTGTCCCTTCCGTGGACTCTGGCTAGCAGAGAGAAAAAAATGACTCTGACTATGATTCAATAGTTCTGACTCCAAGGAAGGTACTCAGAGATCGCACGAGCCCAGTCTTCCAGGTGGCACTACTCAGCAATATCCAGCATCACTGTTGGGGACACATCTGGCTAACAGCCTGGGACAGCTGCTATTCCATCTGGGACAAATCTGATCATACTAGTTTCTTATTAAAAAAATCTCTCACAGTTCCTCACTGGCATCTACAAAGCCCACCTGGCCCCCACCTGCCTGTGTAATCTAATTGCCTCCTTACCCCTCCCGCATATCCAGGGCCATTCACAGCCAAGGCTATGCTCCTCCAAACCATGCAAGGTCTGTTGCTTCCCAAGTGCACCACAGGCGTCACACTTTGGTGCCTTTGCTCACACTGCTCTCTCTGCCTAGAGTCTATCCCTTTGCTGGGAGTATGCAAAGGATATGCCTACTCCAAGACTTCCAGATCACATATTACCTCCTTTGCATAAAACCTCCCCTGATGTCCACCCAGCCTTCCCCATTCTCCATCTGCTGCAATCATTTAGTGCTGGTTGTCTCAGGTTGTTGGTTGAGTCTCAGTCTTGGGTACTTAAGGGTTCTTCCTAACTCTTGGTGCCTATAGAGCAGTGTTTTTCAACCTTTTTTTTTTAAATCTCATGGCATACTTGAACCTAAAGTTAAATTTCTGTGGCACATTTAAATTATGTTGATCAAAATAAAGAGTAAAAAAAAAAGAATATACTTACTGTGCTTTGAACTTCTCTTGAAAATAATTTAATTAATGATCTTTAAAAATGTTTTGCAGCACACCTAAGATCCGCTTATGGTACAGCATACCAGTTGAAAAATCACTGCTCTAGAGTCTAACACAGGGCCCGACATGTGGTGTACCCTTACTACTTCTTGGTTTCACTTAATCCAATACTTCCCAAAGAGTGGGATGAACAAACACTGTGGGTAGGAAAGGGGATTTTAGGGTTACATGATCACAACATTCAACAATCGAGTCACGTGCAATTCCCTATTCAGAGATCTTTCTAACCTGATGAGGTCGGCAAAAAAACTCATGCCAGGTCCTCCCCTCAATCCTTGCTAGTCCCTTTTCTAGCACAGAGAACATGCCACAGAATTGAGCTTCCTAAGATAAGGAATGGTGTCTGACTAGAACTTAAGAACATTCTGTTTTCATTTCAATTTTCCTACAATTACCTTCTTTTTATGACAAGTGGTGCAACTCTCAACTTATGATAATGATAAAAAGTTTCCTTTCAGTTATGAATTTATTTATGGAGAAAAATGAGTCAAGCACTGTTTGTAATAGCAAAAGAATGTAATTCATCTAAATATCTCAAAACAGGAGGGTGGATAAATAAACGGTGGTATATTCAGACAAAGGAATAATATACAACAGTTAAAATGAATAAACTTGAGCTAATTATATTAACATGGTTAAATCTCAAAAATCGAATAAGGGGGAAAAACAAATTGTAGAAGACAGGATCGTTTATCTAAGTTTAAAATACACAAAAATAAGGCTGGGTACAGTGGCTCATGGCTATAATCCCAGCACTTTGGGAGGTCAAGATGGGAAGACTGGCTGAGGCCAGAAGTTTGTGGCCAACATGGGCTACACAAATACTTTAAAAAAAAAAAAATTAGCTGGTGTGGTGGTATGCATCGGTAGTCCCAGCTACTCAGGAGGCTGAGGAAGGAGAATCAGCTGAGCCCACAATTTCCAGGCTGTAGTGAGCCGTGATGATGCCACTGCATTCTTTTCCAGGCATCAGACTGACCCCTGGTCTCAAAACAAAACAAAAACACAAAAACAATATTGTATATTTTATAGATACATGTGTATGTAGTAATAGGGTAAAACCATGCATTTGAATTAATTAAATTCAGGGTAGCAGTTAACTCTGGAAAGAGAAAGGGGCAAATTTATAGAGGAAATGTTAACTAAAAAATTGGAAGCAAAATATGAAGATTTTATATCATGTCAAATAACTTTTTGCATGTTTGTAAAACTTCATAATATACTTAAAAATAGATAAAACAAAAAATCCTGTTATTTTAACAGAATATAAACGTCAAGAAAAATAACAGAATAAGAGGGGAAAGGTAGAGGAAAATGTTATGAAGGTGGTATGCTGTAAGGCTGGCTCAGGAAACACTGATGGTTGGGAAGTAATAACTTAATAAGTCCTCTGTAGGCTGTAAATCCCAGTAACTGTGTCTGCTCTGCTCACTGCCACATCCCAGACACATAGCACCAAGCTCGGCACAGACCTAGAGTCTTCACCATGTGCAATAAATTCCCCCTACACTGGAAGTCCCTGTCTTTCTTAGCCACAGCTGTCCCTGGGTATATGGAGTAGGTCTTCTAAATTATTATTATTATTTTTAGGTGCAGAGGTGCACTTTAGTGCAAAGTTGCACTTTGTCACCCTTGGTAGAGTTCTGGGGTGTCACAGCTCACAGCAAACTCCAACTCTTGGGCTTAGGTGATTCTCTTGCCTCAGAGTAGCTGAGACTATAGGTGCCCGCCACAACGCCCGGCTATTTGTTTATTGCAGTTTGGCCAGGGCCAGGTTTGAACCTACCACCCTCGGTATATGGGGCCGGTGCCCTACTCACTGAGACACAGACACTGTGGGCAAAGTTTGAATGTAGAATTCCCTATAGCAGTGATGCAGTTCCAAAAGCTCACCAGCAGGTGGCACTTGGTCCCTGCCTCTGAGCAGCTCACAAGGCAATGGCCAGAGTGGTCAGCCTGCCCTGAAGCCATCTGCCAGAGCAGATCTGGGTGGAGAAAACCAGTGAATAAGACTAGTGGGTGACGGCAGTGCCAGAGGGACCCCCTCTGTATCAAAGCTACAGAAGACAATCTGAGGGAGGAACCCAATCCAACATGTCTGGTGATGTGTGCAGTAGATAGCACAGAGCCAGTGTCCCCACACACCTAGCACATCCACCAGCCTTACTGTGGTGACAAACTGCTTTGTTCATCATCACCTAATTTCGTGACTTCCAATAGTACACCCTCCAGTCCCCACCATCTGCTTCCCTATCTTCCCTACCCTACCTGTACCTGAATGTCTACTGTATAAGCTCCTCCATGATCCAGTCCAGCCTATGTCTCCAGCCTCAGCCCCATGGCTACCCTACACCAGAGTGGCAGTCCTAACCATGGGACACTGCTAACAGTGAAAAACCCTTGTCCTTGGACAGTGCTCCACCTGCACACCACTCTCATCTCTAGGTTCCACTCCTGCTACTCCCCCACACCCCCCAGGCTTCCCCACATGCTCCTCTTGAGCAGGGGCCCCCTTTCCTCTGACTTCTCAGCCCCACTGCCCCACTCCTTTGCACTTAACATGAAGCTTCCAGTACTAGAAAGCACGTTCACCAGTACATATCTGTTCATTTCTTCAACTTGATTTTAAGTAATTGGGTTGCTCTCTCAGCAGGAACAATGCCTTGGTCTCTGGGCCCTCATCCCTTTTCCCACGCTCTGCATACACGGTCTGAGGAAGTGTGCATTCACTTGCACGGGTCAGGAAAGGAAACAACTGGAACACAGCAGGTGCTCCACTAATACTCGCTGAATGATCCTATGTGTAAGCAACTTGGCAGTGCATGTGTCTACTCTGCCCACTTGAAGCTGATCTTCTACTGGCAGCGGGGAGTTCAGTCACTCCTTCAGTAGATACCTAGCAAACACCAACTATTGCCAGACACTGTTCTAGGCACTGGTGGCACAGAAATGAACAAAACAAAGTGCCTGCTTTCACAGAACTTGCATTAGTGAAGGTTGAGAAGCCAGACCATAAACACATAGAGTATGTGAGGCAGAATAAGTGCTATGAAGGATACCGCAGGGAGAAAGAGGATGGGGCAGGAGGTCCTCTCCCAACAGAGTTCTGAAGGAAGCAGAGTGAATCCTAGGAGAGGTCATAAGGCAGAAAGTCCTCAGGAGTAGAACTGGGGGCAAGAGTGTCCTTGTTGTTCGGTGGGACTAACCCCAACGGGAAAATCGGGCCCAGGCTAAGAAAGGTTGCCACAGACAGCCCTTGCCAGAATTCGCGGGATGATGCCCCCACCTGGGCTGGCACAGCCCCAGGCTCCTATGCCCTCCGTTGCAAAAACACCTGTCACACTCAGGCAAGGCGGAGGGAGTGCTCCGCAGCCAGGAAGATCTCCGACGGGGAATTGAGGATTGCTGGTGGGGGGAGGGGGGGTCCTCCTCATGCTGCCTCCCAGCCCCTGCGGGAAGCCGGTAGTGCTCAAGTAGTGTTAAAAAAGTAAATGGCAGGGTTGGGGAGATGTTTAACGCTGCAAAGTAAGTAGCACTAACATCTGGATGCGCCGGTGCACGCAGATCCAATTCTTCGTGTGCCCCGTGCTTTCTCCCCCAAAGTGCCCCAGAGCCCACGCCCACATCCAGCCCTCCGCGTGCCCATGCTGACTGGTGCCCCAACCTATACGCTTGTCCTGATTCTCCCACTTCCCTGCCAACCCCCTACATGGAGACACATCTGTCTTTGCGCCCTGGAGCCCCCACACCTTCCACCTATCTGGGTCAACCTCCCTTGGGCCTCAAGTGCCTGGAGCGCCCACCCTGCGGCTCCCTCTCGCGGCCTCGGACCCGCTGCAGGCCTCTTGGAGAGCTAGCTGAGAGCAGAAAGAGCGCCTAGCGAAAGGATTTAACGTCGGGGCTGGGGCCACGCTGGTAAGAAAGTGTGAGGATGGTATTTTATCTTTGCCTTCAACTCTTCGAAAGAGGGTCAGATCTCCAAGCCTGGACTTCAGAACCGGGAGCTGTTTCCCGGCAGGACTGAGGACAGAGAGACGAGGGCAATAGCCCGCCGCCCTCTCCTCTCGCTTGCACACCCCTCCAAGAATGAGCGCACAGGAGCCCTGGCCCTCTCTCCCCCTGCACCTCCCATGCTTCCCTGTCCCGTGCTCACCCCGTGAGCCGCCCTCGCGGCGGGGTTGGGGGCGCAGCCGCGGACCGCTGTGGGGTCCCAAGGCGCGGAAGAGCCGGCGCGGCACGGGGCCGGGTTGCGGGCTGCTGCTGGCCCAGAGTGCTTCTCCGGATCTGCGCAGGTGGCTGGAATCGCCGCGGCTGCTGCGCGCGGGGCGGCCTCCTGGCCTCCGCCTCGGCGAGCCTCCTGGGGCTCCCCCAGCCCAGCTGAGCCCGCTCTGCGGGCGGCAAGCCCAGGACGGGCGCGTCCTGCTCTCGGAACAGACTGTACACCTTGGCGGCAGCCGCTACGGGGTAGCTGCCCCCAGGGCGCCGCAGCCGATTCGCTTCTCCGCCAAGCGGATCATATCTCCCCAAAGGGTCCCTTTGGGCATGACCCATGCCCACGAAGAGAGCCAGGGTGAGCGGCAGGAAGCCCCTCCAGGAGTCCCGCAGGGTGCGCCCCAGGCAGTGGGCTTTGGTCCACGGCCTCATGGCGCCGGGCCGGCTGGAGAGCTGCGCGCGCGGGGGACCGCGCGGAGGTTTGTAGTCGTGCTTGGGACCGCCCGGTGACTGCTCTCCCGACCCCGCTGTGCGGCCCGTTCCTTCTGGTCTAGAGTGACCCCCAAGGGGCCAGCCGGGGCCCAGCTCTCCCCGAGAGACAGCTGGGCGGTGTGAGCGGCCGGGGCTGCGCACCCTGAGCCTCGAGTCGGCGCTGCGACTCCAGCTGGGCGCGCACGGCCGCCGCACCTTCCCGCCTCCTCCCGGTCCCTGCGGCCGTCTGAAGGGGAGCTGGAGGGTTTTATTTTTGGAAACCGCCCCCTGCTTTTTGGTCTCTTTTATCCATACCATGCCCCCTCCTCGGAGGGACAGCTCAGCCCCCTCGTTACGGGAGAGGGAGAGAGGAATTCCAGCAACACCCACTTTGGCACCGTGAAGCGAGCGGGCGGCGAGGGGGATTAACCCGTGAGGAGCTGGGGGCGGCGCAACGCTGACCCGGGGATTCGTAGGGCAGATGACTCTTGCAGGGACAGGGGCACCTGAGCCACCTTTCTCCTGTCCTGGGCAGGCTTAAACAGCTGCCCTGCCCCGAAATTCATCGCCCGCTCCTCCCCAAACTCCTGGTCGGATGGCCAAGTATGCAGCCTCGCATGTCGGAAGGAGGCTGGGAAAGGTACTGAGACCCGCACGGCAGAGGCAGGGCCCGAGGCACCGGCCCCTTGTCTTGCGGCCCTGGTCGATGGGGGCGCCCGCTGCGAGGCCGACTGGTGCCGGGGCAGCGCCTCCCTCGGCCGCGGCGGGGCGCGCCCCCTAGTGGAACTGGCCGCGCCCTTGGCAATTCTGTAGTCGCAGGGACCTGTGTCTGCCAGCCGCCTCTGCTCCTTGATCTTAATCCCGTTCCTGTGGCGTCAGGGTCCAGACTAGGCGTGGGGCGGGGGTGGCGGCTGCTAGAAGAGGTGTCTTCTTTTTCACTGAGGCATAGACATGGAGCCTCTTGAGTTAGGTCATTCAAAGAGACAGCATATGTAAAAAGAGAGGAATGAAATCCAGGCTCAGTCCATTCCCTGGACTCCCACCCCAGGCGTTCATGCCCTCAGGAATTTCGCCCAGGGGGATTCGATGAGCCTCTGGTTGATACTGTGCGCACTCACATAATTTTGTGTGTGTGTTAGCAGCAATGGGGACAGGGGCATGAGACTATTGATTGCCATCCATCTGAGTGTCTTCCATAGCCAGCTCCTCGTTCTCACCCTGTCCCCTCTTAGGAGCCTAAAGAGAATGAAGGAGCAGGCAAGAGAGCGCCAGTTTAAACCTCCCATACCACACAGAGAATGGGCATAGATGATAGCTAATGTTGGAATAAAGCAAGGGTAGCCAGCCTTGTTTTTCCTCTCCTGCACATTGGAAGAATAAAAGTTGTCTTAGGCCACATTACATACACAAACACTAATGAAAGCTGATGGGCATAAAAAAGATCCAAGCTTACTTTTTGTTATATCTAACACCACAGGAAAACAAACCAAAAAAGTCCTCACAAAATCAGCATGTGGCCCTCAGGATGCAGGTTGGGCATCCTCAACACCTACGCTTAGCCTGCAACACCCTACTGACTGTCCCCTTCTCTGATCTCTCTCTCTCTCCTTCCCTAACTCATCACCCTGCAGCCACATAGACCCTCTCTCTGCTCTTCCAGTGAACCCAGTTAATACCCACTCCCTAGTTAAAACCCATTTTCTTCCTGCCACTGGGTGGCTCACACCGCTAATCCTAGCACTCTGAGATACCAAGGGAGGTGAATTGCTTGAGCTCAGGAGTTCCAGACCTGCCTGGGCAAGAGTGAGACCCCATCTCTACTAAAAATAGAAAAAAAAAAATTGGCCCAGTGTTGTGGCGGGTGTCTGTAGTCCCAACTACACCAGAAGCTGAGGCAAGAGGATCTCTTGAGCCCAAGAGCTTGAGGTTGCTGTGAGCAAACCACATCACAGCACTCTACCCAGGGTGGTAGAGTGAGACTCTGTCCCCCCCCCCAAAAAAGAAAAAGATTAAAAAAAAATAATACCCACTTCCCTCCACCTGGATCCTCTCCAAGATGTTTACAGAACTAGTTCCTCATCATTTCACCTCTCACTGGAAATGTCACCTCCTGGCGTGGCCTCCCCTGACCCTCTAATCTAGAGCAGAAAGTCACACTCTAACTCATCACCCTATTTCATCTTCATTGTTCTAATGACCAGCTGAAATTATATTGTTATTTATGTGTTTACTTGTGTGACTGATTTTTTTAAATGGGCTGAACCCGAAGAGGGAGAATCCAGAAACTCTTCCACTACTGCCTTCAACCACGTTATGGTGAATTTCCCTTCCCCACTCTGATGACACCTCAGGCAGGGTCCTTAGCTTGCTCATTCAGACTGGACACAAGAACAGCTTCGTTTCTATAATTGAGACCAATTTTCAGAAAGTCTGTTCTTGTTCAAAGCAAAAGCTCTTCCAATTTAACCAATATCACAGACAGTATAAAACTCTCCTCATCCCACACAGGCCTGTCCCTTGGTTGGAGATCCTATAGACCTGGGGGAGGGGGTATGGTCTCTTTTTCTGACCTTTCTTTACTGCTTAGCTCCTCTGTGTCAGATTGAGGGAGAGGTAGTAGAGGAAAAGTAGTGATGTCTTAAGTAATAGGTACCCTAGGTTGGCAGGTGCCAAGTGGGAACTTTTTGATGGGAACATTTGCAGGTTCTTTGGGGGCTCTCTGTAGGACCTCCTCCTGCAATGCCATAGTAGAGCACTCTCTGGCCAACCTCTTGCAGGCCTCAGCAGGTCCTGGCTCCCAGGGGTTTTCCCATCCATGCCAGGCAAAGCACTAGTTGGTTGGCTGCTTCTCATCCTTCCCCCTCCTCACCCTGCCACACAGTCCATCCATTCCAGCTGGCCTCCACAGTCAGAATTCTCCAGATTGGAAGGGCACACAAATCTCTTCATTTATATACATCTTCAATTCCTAAAGGCATATGTTGGGTTGGGTTCTCCCAAGAATTTTTTTGCTGTGCTTTAGTGCAGTGGGCTGCCTGCAACGTCAAGCAGTTTAGTACCAGTGGAGGGACAGCTGTGGGGACTCAGTCTCTTCTTCTTACAGGTGACTGGTTCTCTTGAGGCTCCCTCCACTTGGTTTGTATTGTGGGGTACTCTCAGCGGAAATATCAGCCCTACCTGAGAGTTCTCTGCCTCTCTACTTCAGTGACTTTCTTCAATTCCTTTCATTTGTGGACTGGAATTAAGGGATTTGGGTTGATTGGTGATGAACCTGTTCTGTCTTTACTAGGGTATCTAGTACTTCTATTTAGAATGTGAGGATATTTAGCCCTTGTTGTTCTAGCTTTGTGGCTTCAGCAGACATTCTAAGAACACAAAAAAAGTCCTGTGCAACAACTTGTAACATCACTTATTGTCTGAGGTCCCCACTCCCACTTGACAGCTCCAAGGAGTAGATATCTCATCTGCATTGCACAGTACTTCTCCCCCACAACCGAGAAGAGTGCTTGACTCTTACAGACAGCCAAGAAATATGTGTGAAATTAGTGAATGCCAGAATAATCCCATCAAGAAGGGAGGGCTGGTATCATCAGACCATTGTAAAAGAGAAAAACTGAGTTCTGGGAGGTAGCTATTAGTCCCAGTTCATGTGCTTGCTGTTTTTAGGGGTGGCCCTAGAGATCTCCAGGATCCTACCCCTTCCAGATGGGGATGAATGTTCCCTCAATTCCCATGGTGTTCAGCCCTCCCCCTGGAACACTGCTCTTTCACAGCTGTGAGGCCCCAGCTTCACACTTACCATTCACTGCCCAGTTGTCTGCCCAACTCTGTAGTTCCAGGTTCCCTTTCTCTCCCTGCAACCTGCCCAGTTCCTGCAGGAGCTCTGCTCTGAATCCCTCAAGGCTCACCTCAGATTCCCATAGGCCTCCCAAGGCCAGAAACCTTGGCATCCTCTCCGTCCCTGAGCTATTTTTTCCTCCTGTGTGTCCAAGTCATTATTACTGCTCCGTCTCCTCTGTCTGCATTTCTGGAAGTCTGCCGCCCATTCATCCCTCACCCTTTGCCTCCGCCAAAACCCTCATGCAGGCATGCTTCCCTCACCACCAGGGGCCCCTCCCACTCCTCGGTGAGTACAAGTGGTCCTTGGACATTCCCACCCTGTTCTCCAGGGGGTTCACAGCCCAGCTAATCCACCCCCAAGACTGGCATCTCCTATTCCCATCCTGGCGCCATTCTCCTGTCCAGCTTTCTACTTATTGCCCATCCCTCCCTCTCCCTCTCACTGTTGGGACCTGTTGATGTAGCTCTTCAGGATCTCCAATCTCATAAATACTTGAGTTTTGTTTGTTGTATGTGTGTGTGTGTTTTTTTAAGAGACAGAGTCTCACTTTGTCACCCTTAAGCTGCCAAGGTTTATAGAGCCTCCTATAGCCCAAGCACCATGCTAAGCATGCTACATGAATCGGCTCATTTAACCAACCAAAGAAGGCATTGTCATTTCCACAAGACAAAGGAGGAAACTGAGGCTGGGAATGGCTACTGGATTGCCCAAGATGACATAGCTGATAAGCAGCGAATGCAGGATTCAAGCCAGGGCCATTTCCCACCTGAGCCCAAGCTTTTAAGGCCATGCCATCTTGGCTCACCCCTGGGCTTGTGAGCCAGGAGCCTTCCTCACAATTGAAGTGGCTGATGCCGCAACTATCACCACCAAAGTACCACCGGTGCATGTTCCCACCATATGCCCTCTCCCATGCCTGCTAGCCCACAATTCAACTCCCTGAAGATGTGGTGTTATCAAAACTTTCTACCCTCCTCAACTTTCTCTACCCAGTAAAAGAAGGGGGGCTAATTGTTTACAGGATGGCTCCTGACTCACCATGTATCACCCCCTCACCCTGATCCCAGCTTCCTCCCTAACGAGGCTGCTGCCCAGCCTACTCACTCATCTCCTGGGTCTG